ACAACAAAGTATGAGTGTGAATGGTTTTTTTTTGGCATTTGAGAACTTCAGTACAGAAACTTGCATCCAAAGTCAATATAGATTTTAATCCATAGTCAATATACCAAAAAGTGAAATTAAATATCACCACCACCTTCTTTGTGATATCTTGAGAACTCTTATATTTATACTCTATTATTGAAATTTTTGATGTGGAGTAGAAAATCCATAATATGTTTTACACTCATCTGATCTATTGTCTACTACGATATGATGAAATTTTCAAAATACATATCTTTTCAGTTGAGATCTTTCATGAATACCCAGAATTTTTGTGGAAAAAAGCGTGAAATATCCATGGTTTTTCATAGAAATGTTTTGAAACAGATCATAGGTTGAATTGGAAGGGGTATTTGTTCTGGGGGTATTCATTTTTGTTAAAGAAAGGAATCTGGACTGAGTTGTCTGCGTAGCCCTACTACTAATAGTCCAAAGGACGTATTAACTTGCATTTGTATTAGCATAAAAAGGTTTCATAACAGTGGGAATAAACTTCTTCACCTCAAGGACAGCTTCTTGTTAGCCTTACTGTTAGCCTTACAGTTTTCCTCATAATGATCATGTATATCCATTTTCCTCTGAACCGCAACTTTCTCGTCGATCCCTGTTATTTGATAACTTATTCACAAGAAGTGTCCTTATGACAAAAGTTATTCAGGCAAATCCTTTACAACAATTCAAGCAACTTTACATTCAAAATAGTAAATTTCTTCCTTTCTAAAATCTAAAAGAGTTTCATGGAGATTTAGCTCAATGAACTATGAATGAAATTATTTTCAATGGCCTAGTTGGTATAGACGGTTTGTATTGTTCAAAAGATTCAACTATTGAAGGAAATTCTCATATCGTAAATGCTAATAGTCAGTATTTTACGAAGAATGATATTGGTTATTGATTCATAATGTTGAATAATGAAAATGCGGCAGGAAATTTATATTCAGAACAATGAGTCGAGTTTACAAGGCTCTTCGATAATAAATAACATCCCAGAAGCGGAACTCGTTAAACCCAGTAATACATTTATATGAGTAAAAATGATCTAACAAACACTAAGGCCGTTAAAAAGGCGACATAAATGATAAATGTATATTTTCAATACACTTAAAATCCGATTTTACGACTATTACTAAACTGAATACTAGTAAACTGAATACTTTTAATGAACACTTTGATATGATAATAATGAGAAGTATTTCTCGAAGAATAGATTTGAACAAAGATCTGAAATTTCATCGTAGTTGGAAGTAGGAAACTTCTCATTTCTTCCAGTCAATTAATTCTGATTAACTACAATAATCAAATTCATGAGCATGTATTGCTTCAAGTGTTTCAATACCAACGAAGTTGATGGCCTAAGTGGTAAAGAAATCGAAAAATACATCCATCTATCACAAATCTGTATCAAACAGTATTGCCTTCAACTACTGTTACGCTAGTTGCACACACACCGATTTTGGACGGCCAGTATAAAATCGGCCGATATTTTATTGGTAGCGGGTGCTTGCACACTCACCGGATTTTTATCGGTCAAACAATCAGTTTCTTTGTTGTCGTAATTAGCACGCACTACCAAAACGAAGTTAATGCATAGTAACTACAATTTCACCGAGCATTCGAGACTAGAATGGTCGGTAAAAAACCGGTGAGTATGCAAGAGTGTATTCAGTCATGTACGCCACTACTTCCCGGTACTGACGGCGATACAGTGGCAGTGGACGGCTGCTCACCGGTATTTTACCGATCCAATGATTGTTCATTATAATTTTCTTTACTTTCTCAACTATTTCATCGGTTGTTGGTATGCTGGGGCATCCAGGTCGAGCGACGTCATTCACGATCTCCTGTGAGAAGTTTGTACCACTCATAAACATTTTTCTGAGTCAGAGTACAATCATCGTATGCCACTGTCTATATTTTGAAAGCAGAAAATCACCGAATACGTAAAACACTTCTAACCTTTATGCCTCCCACCAACAAAATAAACATGCTAAAGAGCTGAAACTATGAACATATATTCGAGATCAACATAAAAAAATACAAAATTCGCTAATTGAATGTACGTAGCCCCTGAAATTTGATTCGCCACGTTATTTTTTCAACTGTCGAGGTACATCAATTGGGCTCTGGTTTACCTGATCATTCTGTCCAAAGACATGGTTTTTTCGTGTGTAATTTTAATTTGCATTTATCACCCTGATTTTTGAAAAGAGTTACCCCAATGATTGTGAAAACTACAGGGGAGTAAGTATCCTGTCGAATATTTCGAAACTTATTGAACTCAACCTAAAAACTCAATTACGAGTACAAATGAACTTCTTTCATCAAATCCACATAGCTTTATGAAACTTGATGAAAGTACAGAAACAGGTCAGTATGATTCCAAAAATATGTTATAACTGCTCTTGATAGTGAACTGTGCATATGTGGTATATTCATTAATTTTTATAGAGCTTTCGATTATGCAAATCATAAATTACTCATACACAAATTGCAATATTAAACAGTTTCTGAAGTTGCTATGGACTTGATGAAGTTTCACGCACAGGAAAAGACACAGATAATAATGCGAACGGCGAAAAGTCGTACATTAAAAATCAAACAGGAAGTACCTCAAAGATCTATACCAGATCCCGCGGCTCTTTTCAAGCGATACTAATGATTTGATCAACTACTTGCACAGTCTCACGAAAGTTCTTGTAATTGCTTGAGGAGGTGATTCTAACTTATTCAAGTAACACTACATTATGAGATTTCGAATAGATATTTTACGAAATCGCAACACGTGTTTCGTTATACAACAGCTTCATCGGTTTCATACTAGTATTCAAACGCTTGATAAAGCTATTGTATAGCAAAGCACGTTTTGTGAAAATCTCACAATGAAGTTTCACTTGAATAAGTTATGGATTTTCATCGGCTAATTCCATTGCATATGATACTGTCTTCATCGTAACTGCAAAATAATTAGCAAATATTTTTGAAGGCACAAAGAATGGTTATAGAAGAATAATTACTTTGGCATAAAAAATCAGTTTACACTAAACGTCAGAACGGTAGCTCTGATGACATTCTCACTGCAGAACACTTCAAGATTTTTGACAGAAATGAGCTGGAAGTAGTTCCTAGCAGTAAAAAAACTATGCTCAGTTTTTCCTTAGGCCACAGACTTACTTTTTTCAAGACAAAACACAAGCACTACAGGAAAATCTCTGAAACGCTCTAAGAGTGGTGCTTGTGCGAAAGTAGCGATTCACGTTGGTTTTCGTTGGGGATTTAATTCGTTGGAAATAACCATCTCAGGAAGTTCATTCCACATAAACACAGTTCTCCAAATGGAAGAGTTCTTGAACAGTGAAGTTCGAGTTGAACCTCAAAACGATGAGCATTTACAGTCCGTCGCGTATTTCTGATATGTACCACTGTTGATGGAATCAAATGTTCCAAGTCACTTGGACACCTTCTGTGAAAATATCTATAAAAGATGAATCTCCAACCCTTCTTCGATGTTCTAGACTATCAAGGTTGCAAGTGATGTTCGTGTCCTCAATCAGGCAGATTGCTTTTTTCTGGATGGAATCCAACAGTTTCAGGATATGCTTAGGGGCGAAGCTCCATACATAAGAACAATACTCCAAAAAAGGTGTGATATGAGTTTTATAAAGCATCAAAAGTTGCTGAGGTGTGCACAGTTTTCTGATTTGGAACAGTGTTCCAAGCTTATGATAAGCAGCATTTGCAATTCCAGCGACATGATTGTGCCAAAAAATTCATTAAAACAGAAACCGGAATTGTCTGTCTTGATATTATTATATTCGGTTCAGAGACTTTCAGCTTTTTGGAGAAAACCGATGCCTGGGTTTTGGTGGCATTGAATTGAACCTGGTTACTTTCACCTTCATATTGACACACTATGTAATGAACTTAGAAAAAACAGTCTATATTTATAAGTGTGTGTGTGTGTGTATCCTATAACTGACGTTCAGTTTGTTATTGGTTCCTGGTCCAACTCATTACGAGGATATGAGAAGACTACGGTTGAGCTCACCAAAAAAGAAACTCACCTCAGTTTTCTGTGCAGAGCGAGAAGCAACAACATCAAGCAACACAAAGGCTTTCTACTGAAATCGCCAATCCCAGGAAAGAGAGCCAAACGCATATTGGAACGCGCCAGTCGAGTACTGATAAGGTCTCAAATTAATTATCACGGTTGGAAAAAGGTCAACTTTGTTGCAGGATGCCAGGGAACGATTTGAAGAAATAAGACGGGAGACATTGGAAGAGGATCATGGACCAATCTTTGCCAAGACTAAAAGCACGTGCTTGAAGATCCACCAAGACATGGAGAAGTTAGTGAGGAAACAATGCCCGAATACAGACCGAAAACAGGACAACTATGAAGCCGCCAACGTCATCAACATGAGTTCCCGTCCGCTCACGGGAATAGAGGAATACTTGTTGAGGAAAGGCTTGAACTTCGCCATTGCGCCAGCATCTGTGCCCATTTTGGAGATAATTTATGCAGTGGAATCTACCAGTTTCCATACTGACTAGACCGAGGCAGAAGAATTCAGATGGAGAACCAGTTCCAACATCTAAAATCAGCAATGAAGAACGTAGAGCTCTGAACGGCCCATGTAAAGAGAACACCATCAAGATCCTACCTGTAGATAAAGGAAACGCTACTGTGGTGATAGATACAGTTCTCTACGAACAGAAGATCGAAGAGGTTTTTCAGATGCAGGGTCATGTATGAAGATCGTACCAGTTTCCTGTGTTATTGTATGAGAATATTTTTGTACTCACTTTTCAACAAGTGTTATGAATATTATTATCACTCATATACACCAGAACTGCAACTGTTTTCTCATGCTTTTCCCGCCCATAGTTACGTAACAGATAGTTGAATATTACACGTATATTTCAAGTCATTATCAAAAGTATAACTTTCCTTTATGTTTCAGTGAACTTGGAGCAACGAGTTCTGAAAACGAATGTCCTCTTCGAAGAGGCGTAGTGAGCACAAAATGGGGTTCGATTTCGAGTACCAACCTAATAACAGGTATAGCGGCAGGGTTGCAAGATAATCAAGTAACATTCGAACGCCTCGTTGAAGGCATTGAAGAAAACGGTGAAGAATCTATCAACACTTCTATAACATACACAAATAATGTCAACACTGTGTTCTTGGCCACACTGGCAGGAGGTTTAGCTAGGAGTATCCTGAACCAAACAACCGAAACCCCGGTAATTGGAAACGAAGGGTTCTGGAATGATACTCTGTTACCCAGAGCGTACTATTTGAAGTCCAACACGTGGGATATGATAGAGGCTGATATACTGGCAGGAATCGATGGTGATTGAGTAGTTTATGTTTTTTACAGGATATATCAAAGATATGGATGAAAGATAGTTTCTTTTCAAGGTGCCCAATAAACGTGTGACCTACTAAAGTTTTCCGATGTTTTCCTTGAAAAGTTTCTTTCAAACATTTGAAGTTGTCTGGGTTTATACCTGGTGGTTCGGAACTAATGTCACAAAAAAGTTTATTCTACACCAAATATCTCTTTTCGTTTCATTACAGGATCAACTTCAGTTCGAAAAGAAGTTGAAGGTAAGACTCAATTTATACATAGTAAATAATGGAAGATTGTTGGGAATTCGTGTTTTTCAAAATGGTTGAGTTCATTTCAATACCTGTGTTTTCCTTTTTTTCTCAAGAATAAAATTCATTTTTGATGTGAATTAGTCAATCCAAGGTTTGAGTACCTACCACTGCATGAATAAAGCTCTACTGTTTTGGGTAACCAACTGAAAAACTCTATTATCAAACGTAGTAAACTGATTCTTTTTTATTTCCTTCGATCTAGTAGAATTTTGGTGTTGACTGAATCCATTTTCTGACATAAATTCCTCAACTTCCGAACCACCTGGTAACACAAACAAAACTATATGTTTGAGAAGAATCAATCAAGTAAAAATATAAAGAGTGTTTCATTTTGAAAGGACAACATCAATGTGCCACGTCCTTTGAGCACCTTGTACGATGATTATTATTTTCAACTTCCATCACCATCTACAACTTTTTTTGATACATTTTTTTCCATCTCAACGTGGTGAACATGCGTTCACCCACGCATTATTTTGACTTTTCAAACTTGTGTTATGAAACAAAAAATTTAATTTGTAATAGTGTAAATGCAATTCAAGTTCTCATCAAGAATCCTCTAAAAATTGATTATGAAAATCATTCATCCATGTTGATTCTTGACTGAAATTTGTTTTCATTCTTGAAACTCAAGAAAAAAAGAAGTTTTCACGCACAATTTTTGATGGTAGCATCAATGAAGAAAAATTTGCCAATAAGAAGGAAAATTGAAATAGACTGATGTTAAATATCTTTCTATTTTTGCTTCTATATACAGTGGAATCTATTATGCAGTGCACAATCGAAATTTGACACTCACTTAAAGTCAGTGCAGATGAAACAATTATGAAGTTCAAGAATTGAGAGACATAATTACAAAAACACAACAGGACTTCATTCAAAAACGATTGCATAAATATTGTCTGTATTTTCATATCATTTACTTCAAATTTCTTTTCGATTGCAACAAATATTTTTTTTACAATTATTCATTCAAGTTGCCCTTTCATTAATAGTGTTTTTTTCGAAACTCCTCATGAAATACTATTGTCAGCCTACTCGTGATTCACAATCTTCAACAGTGACTTTATCTCTACATCTGACTTTACTCCGCTGATAATTTTCGTAGGAATATAGATTCAAGTTGAAATTCCAGTACCTCTTGTTCAGAGGTTTTTTCTACTTTTTTTTCTCGGTCCACAGTCTCAGTCTCGTAACTATTATGCCTACTTTTCCTTTCAATCAACGTTCCTCTATGATCTCTGAATGATAATGTATATAATTTTGCATTATTGCTATATTTTCTTTCCTCCTTTCTTTTTCTATATTCGAAACAAGAACTCTTTCCGAATGCCAGAACTGCACACATGTTTCTTCAATTGAGTTGACGTCCTCAGGAAATTGAGGAAACTGTAAATACTGTTACTTAGGTATCAACTGAACTAACCTAACCTGGAATACTGAGAAACATAATTCTCTCCAATCTTTCAATTGGCCTAAAAGAGAGAAATGTTAGTGAACTTACAACATATTGAACTATTCGGAGTAGGACATTTAATGAAGCTGAGATCCTGACACTTTCATTGCTGCAGGCAAACAGATTATTGATCATTTTGTTGTTTATATTCGCTATCATTTCTGTTACTTTCATCACCATGGGATATTAAGCAAGTCAGTTAATAAAATGAAATCTATGTCATCTTCATCGAATACCACCGAAAGAACGGTAAATTACGAAATGATATTTATCAAATGTCCCTCTGTTGGTGGTCTCAACATACCTATTTTGTTGTGATTCTGCAGTAAAATGACAGGATTATTTATATCTGAAAACCATCTTCAGTAACCCCGAATGAGATTTTATTTTTAGGTTTCGGAATGATCAGTTGGATTCAAGATTACCAAATATTAATTTTCAAAATTGAATGAACAATAAAATAACAAATTCAAAATATTCGCATTCTGATTTTTGTGAATAGGAACAATACACGAAAACTAAATTTTTAAAAACAATTGTTATTTGCCTACCAGAAAGCTTTATGCTTTATTCTCAGGTGAAGGTTAATAACAATTTCATTTTTCAAATTTGTCTCAGTATTTTACCTTTAATCGACTAAGGCAGAAAAAAATTTGGGTTAGGTCTATATGCATTCCGTGCACTTGATATCCCACCAGTATATTTTTGTCACAAGAACAAGTTATATTACAAATGCATTTTTTTACCTTTATGTTGTTCAGTTTTGTATGTGTTGACTTCGATCTTGGCGTTTTTTTTCTTTCATGGAGCTCATATTTTATGCGAATGTGGGGCGTTGCATCATCATTTGGTTTTTAATCATATCTTTAATTTCTGAATATTATTGGAGTTCTTTCCGAACACAAAAACGTTATTTTAACACTTTGACACGTGTTTCGATCACCAAGTGATCATCTGCAAGAGGAAGATCAAACTAGATTTTCCTTGTTTGAAGGTGATTGACAATGTTTCGTGATCACCAGTCATCACCAGAAGACGATTGTAGATACCAAATTTACTTGTTTCAGGGATTTCAAATCATTTTATATAATAGACAATGGAAGTCCGAACTAGTGAAATAGATTTTCCTTGGTGATCAAAACACGTGTCGAAGTGATTAAATAACGGTTTGATGTTGGGAAAAAACTCCAGTTATATTCATTGCTACACCAAATGTGCCAAACAGTGCAACTCAATTTTCTATTGCATTTATCGTTCAATCTGTGAACGAATCTGGATAAGTGTTCTCTTCCAGAACAGATTTTATGAATGATACTTCTTTAATATAATTTTCAGTTGAATTGCAAATTCCGATAAACATTAGTATCAAATTGATCTGGAAAACTTTCCAACATTACATCGAGGAGAGGAAATTGACCTTTTCTACACGTGAAGGGTAGAACTTTTCTTTTTGAAAATTCTTCTCATCCTGTGGACGTTGAAAATGCTCCAACAAGATAAAAAGGTGTCAGTACTGATTCCTATGATTTTTGAGTAAATGTATGGAAAAAAATGTTAAAAAATTATAATTCTGAATACACTGGCGAGTTACTTGATTAAAATCAATAACACTATCTTTAATGATAATGATCCAACTGATGAAGTTACCATGTAGTGAAAAGTTGCTTGATTGAAACTTATAATATGAAAACTGTATAATCATTATCATGGATAATATGTAATTCTGTTCATTATACTATAATACACCATATTATTTATCACTCCGTTGATTAATAGTTTCAATTCAGGTGCTATTCTGGGGAACCACGTCAGAGAATGGTTGAACGTACTCGAGAGTACAAGATTATCCCAAATACTTGATATGTATTATTCCAATCGAGGAATTCCATTCGAATTTGGATATAAACCCAACAATCGCAGCATGTCGTTCAAATCAATATTGAGTGGATTGAACTTGGAAGAACAGGTGACCAAACTTTATTCTAATTCGAACCGAATAAATGTTTTCATATTCATTTCAAAATCGGCAAAATCAGGATAATCTAGAAAAAACCTGAAAAATGTATACAGCTCATTCCATTTGAAGTAGGGGAGCCCACGATGCAAAATGGGGATTTACTCGAGCGTCATAGAGACATATTAGGAAAAAGAAGCCACCCTGAAAACTTTTGGTATAATGATTTGCAGGAAAAATAAAAAAACACATCAACTATAGTATACAGGGGGACACATTTTGACATATTCACATTTGATGTTACTTTCCCTATCACACCCCCAAGGCATGTCACCATTTTTTCTAAATGGATCACCCTATATTGTTTCGCATTATCAGAAGCTACATGATGAGCAGATTTCAAGAAAGTATGAAACATATGGTTTGAAGCTTATGCTTCGGGAGCTACAAATTATTTGAGTTGAAAACAAGCCATCCTGAATAACTTTTGAAACAATGATTTTCAGGAAAAATAAAAAAATAACTCAACAATAGTATACAGGGGACACATTTTGACATATTCACGTTTGATCTAACTTTCCTATCGCACCCACAGAGCATGTCACCATTTTTTTAAATGGATCAATTGTTTTACATTATCAGATATGATAAACAGATTTCAACAGAGTAGAATACATTATGGTCTGACGCTCATAGTTTGGAAGCTAAAAATTATTTGAGTTGAAAACGAGCCACCCTTAATGAACTGTACAATGTATTACCTAGGTTTCATAGGTGTTTTTCTGAAGTATACTTCAAAAAAGTCTTATTTTGCCTAGTTAGGATTGAATTCGATATTCTCTTCATTTTGTATTTGTCTCATTCTACAATAACGATTACCTACCAGGTGGAGTTACAATTGGTGTTTTTGTAAATACTTGAGAAGCAATAGTTTAAACGCTTCGAGAACGAATTGAAATAGTGAGTTTGTACTACTAGAATGGAAATAGTGCTAAAGCTGCTGCCCGTATGTTCATTGATAATCATCCAGAAAGAAATGTATGACACAAATACGTTTCTGCAATTTCAGGGCATGTTGGACTGATGAAAAATTCACAATCTCTTACTAAGTTATCTCAAGAATCAGGAATCAGTCGTACAAATGTACAGTACAAATTTCATCCATATATAGACTAGTTCATGAATTGAACGAAGATGATTTCGAGTCTTGTGAAAGTCTCACTGAACGGATCAACTTGCTTCAGAATTTTTTGTATGAAATTTGTTTTTCGGATGAATGTACGTTTAGTTTGAATGGATACGAATCCTCATTCGTACCGTCAAGTACATACCCAACGACCTCGAAAACGGAATCTTTCGGCAGAAAGTTTAGGTGACCACATCATAGGACCTTTTTTTATCGATGATGATTTTACTAGTGATGGATATTTGGACATGTTGGAGAATAGAATAATACCGTGCATCAATGGGGCAATTGAAGAGGATATAAATTTATTCGAAAACGAAATAGTTTTTCAACAGGAAGGTGAACCTCCTCATTATGCAGCTCCAGTGCGATAATTTTTGGATGATCATTATCATGGTCGCTGGATTGGCAGAGTAGGTCCTACAGAATGGTCACCAAGGTCTCTAGATATCACTTCTGTAGATTTCTTTCTGTGGAGTCGTCTGAAGTCTGAAGTGTATGAGATAGAATCAACAGTTTCACAAGATTTGAGAGAGAATATCATGAGTCATTGCAGAGAAATAACTCCTGAGATTCTCAACCATGTGAGGGTGGCAATGAAAGCTCGTTTGTAACATTGTATAGAAGTTGGTGGAAACGTTTTTGAACATTTACTATAGAATTTTTTTTTCTCATTGTCCAGTCATCAGATTTTGATTCAGGAATTGATAATGAATTCTCAATTGCTGCCACTTTTTTACCTCTGAAATTCGTTTCGCCGATTCAAGAGAATTAGAGAATTCGTACCCATCCATCCATTGCGGAAAGAGATGAGTTAATCTTTCAAGTCCTTTGCAGATAATCGGCTCAACCAAATTACTGAAAGCCATTGGACGTTACGAAGTTAGCATCACAGACGAGGGAATTATAGAATATGCCAAAAAGGCCTCTGGGCACTTTAAATCTGTAGCAGGTAAGAACTTCCATTATTCATTTTTGACAAGTCAGTATTAGGATCTATTTACTCGGGCTATATTTAACCCAAAAATATCCATTAGCAATAATGATCGATTCTCCACAAGGCTATCAGTGGCGCCTGGCATATTCTCACGAAGGGGATCGATCTCAAATGTTTCTAATCATAGTATAAAATATATAATATATCAAAAGTGTATCGTCTACTCAAAGTTTCAACAAACTGGAATTCTTAAGGAGTTAGACAACTAAGATCAAAGTATATTATTCAAAAAGCGAGAATCATTTCTCGCGAGTGGAATACTATTTTTTTATGACTAATATGAGGAATATTTAAAAAAAAATTCATTTGTGGAAGATATCTCGAATGAGAGCACCTAATATCATTAATTTCGTGACAAAAGGCAAACTGAAATAATTCAAATATATTTTCTATTTTTCTTATTCTATTCAACTTCAATTCTTCACTGAAGTTATTCCTGCCTATGCTGTTGTGAAGTTTTCTTCATTATACGTGGAATTGGCCCAATTTTGGATAAGCGGTTGGTTACCTCGTTGACAGGCAGATGGAGTGATGACAAACACGTTGTTCGTCGTTCGCTTCAGCCTAGTTCGAGAAATGAGACTCTGGAGGAATTCGATTTTCAATTATCGGAAATCATCGAGTTTATGTTGCACTGACGAGTGGCCAAACAGCCCGAAACTGGTCTGCAAGTGTGTTCCAATAATTGAAAATCGATTGCGGCAGTTGTATCGCCAACAACGATACAACTTCATTGAAGAATCCTGCACTAACACCAATCGGATATAATCCAACGCCCTTCGTGGTATTTGCCAGAGAAGTAGTTGTCTTCTGATAGGTGTCAGTCTATTAACAAAAAATTACATGTAATGTTTCTTATTCTACAAGAACTGTTGAAAATGACTACCCCCCGATCGGATGCATAATAGAATCTTCTCCTCAACGACTCCCGAACTCTTTCAGAAACACCAGGATCGTTTCTGATTACGTTACACCCAGCAATTATCCGATTTCTCAAATCTTCCACATCTTCCACTAGAGTTGTTGATAGGTACCATCAGAATTGTTAGATTTTTTATTACTTGGTAGGTTCGGTGTAGTACGCTATACTTTCATTTCGGCTACGTGAATAATTTTAAAATTACCAAAATTGTTACTGTCGAAATTTTCTTTCGCTCCGTATCTTCGAAACAAAGCTCCGTATCAAAAGTCCTTTAATACTTTAATGAAATGAATAAAAACACCTTCGTTTAATTACCAGTAGTTGATTTTATTTATACGACCGCTCTCGGGCTTGACCCCATTATCAAGTATAAAACTGAGATGTGAAGTTTGATAACTTTGTTTTATCAGGAATATGGACAGGTATTTAATAGACAGGTAGTTGGACGAACCAGGATGCCAACTTTAAAATTCATCAGTGAAATTCGAGGGGTTGTTAAACTTATAAATTCAAGAGAGGCTACCTACATAAATGGAGTTGCTCATTTAGGTTTATATATTTCTGATTTTTAATTAATTTGTTAATTTCCATGGCTTCCAGCAAATTGATTTTATTCCTTTTATGATATATGTATAGGTTTTTGAAGTTATCTTTATTTATCTTGTGTTTTTATTCTTGAAGATGTCCGTACATTGCGGGAATTTTTCAATTTCCATTTTACTTGTTTTTCCATTGATTTCAACTCTGTTGATACCTTTTTTCAGACAATACAATTTCAAACAATCATTAACTTCTTCAGCACTTCATTAATCATTTTTGGAAAAATATTTTTCATCACATTTTCCAACGTCGATATGAGACAATTTAAATATTCCACTATGAAGAACATTAGACAGAGCTATTTCCAATTTGGGGTCAAAATCTATAATGAAGATATGAAATTGTGTAACTGTGAAATATGAAATGCCCACAGTTAATTAGTTGTGAAAACAACTATTTGTGTAGTATAAAAAAATTGAAACCGTAGAAATTCTACAGTAACAATATAATCAACTGTCTACGTCATCAATTAGTCTCAAAATCTAAGTAAATTCACAATTATATAGCTATCTCTCTGAGATGTACTATAATCCAGGAAGCTATTGCTGTTTGAATGCATACGTCAACTGTTTCGTCTTTTTGTAGTGGAAGAAAAGGGAGCCTATATAAAAATATGTTTATTCGCGTATAGTTGTCCCACATGCACCTATCTGTAGACCATCTTCTGAAGATATTCCAGTTGATTGGCCGATATTGAGGTTGTCGAATGTTCATGTTGCTATATTCCTTTTTCAATGCCCTTAGGAATCTTCACATATAATGGCATTTGTGAGATTGCTATACCTGACGATACATCAAATTCAACCATGCAAGGAATTTTCGCTTCTGGTTTTGGCGAATCATTATTTGAACGAAAGCATTTGCAGACCAGTACAGAGTGAGCTTATTTTCTTCCCTGAGCCATATTCTGCTTCTGCTGCTGAAAAAGTTGTGCAAGGCAGATTCATTAAGGACCATGTTGTTAGAGAAGCGATAACTCGTAAGTCGTTTCCTGGTTGTTCCACCTAGCTTCCTAGGTTTTCGAACAGGAACAGGAATTAGAGAACTAAGAAGACACTATCCTGGCAGACCATGATGAACCCCTCAGTTTTCGAGTTCAGTCCACTAGACCTGAGGAAAGCGAAAGTCAGGCGCTTTGATGAAACAAGGTCTTCAATGTTATTGGAGAAGACCCCATTCATTTGCTTATTCTTGTTTGCCGCAAGAGTGAAGAGATATCTGCGGCTTTTATATGGGCCTTTAGCTGAACGGGTTCCAACTCGGTGACAGAGTTGTGATCACCTATTTCAGTACGAAAACTAAACCAAGTCCATCAACTGCTCGGGCAGCTGCCCTAAAGAGAAATGCTTCAATTCCTGCCCTCTCATGGTCGCGGACCATGCAGGGAAGGTAATCCAGACTACCTTAACGACATTATGTCGTATAGACTCTTCAAACTCAAAAATCCACAGTCTCCCTTTTGTCGGGGAAAGTACAACCGTGAAACGGACGATTTGGGATGCAAACTCCTATGGAGGTACATTATTTTTCGGGTCTTTACGTCGAGTTGATATAGTTCCTCCAGAGTCCACTTCACTACTCCAAACGAGTAGACTAAGATTGGAACGGCAAGCATATTCGTTGCAGCAAATTTATTCTACCATAACAGTTCTGATGACCACATCTACTGGAGTTTGTGCCGCTTGCCACGGAGACAGTTCTTCACTGATGTTACCTCTCTTGAGTGGCGTTGTTCCACCTCGAGGTAAGTATACGTCTCTCCGGCATCCAGAAGGTGTAGGATGCTTCTATCTACGAGCTGCATGCATATCCTCTCCGTAGTCCACGCATCGTTCTCCTTTAAGATGGACCATTGCACATTTGTCTATCCCGAATTTCATATCGACAGCATACGTGTACTCTTCCACCACCCTCAAGGACTGATGGAGATCCTTCTCTCCAGAGTCATAAAGTTTAAAATCATCCATAAAAAACAAATGAGTAACCTTTTGTGCCACCGGTTTTCGGGGGTACCACACTAATACTCTCGAGTATTATTATTATTATCTAATACGTGAATCGCCACATATGACCACTAAGTTCCGTTTTAGGAGGCTAAAGCAGGTTACAATATAGTATGTATTATTAAGACTCTCCACAACAGTTTTTCTTCAGGGTCATTGTGATCATTACTATCTACACAGGACTACCCAGCAAGAATACACTAAGAAGTTTTAGACGGTGCGGTGTATACATGGTGTTTATTAAACATGCCGCAAAAATTCAAGAGGCTATTCCTTGGGCTATTCTGAGGATATTTTTTCCTTTAATTCTTGAAGATGTCCGTACATTGTAGATTTTTGTCCAAACAGACGTGTTCACGCAGCCTCATGTCAAACTTTCTACCGGTTTGACCTGTATTATACTACAGAGCATTCGCCATAGTCTATTCTATATATACCTGATTTTTTCATTCTATCCCGTTTGGGTTTTGCATTAAACAGGGTTCTACCCAAATTATTATTACTCATGAAAGCTGTTGAAATTTTTGAATATTTTCTGAAAGTTTACTTGAGTAATTGATGCTACTGTACTCGATTGTGTTCTCGGCAGTTTGGGTATAATTTACTCATAAGTGTTTTGTGAGATTCACCTGATATTATCTTTACCATTAGAGAAATTGGTACCTAATTGTTTACTGCAATTTGCTTAATTATTTTTAGTTCATCTTGGAAATTCTTTTCAGGTAAAGGGATTGCGAAAGCTATATGTACCATTGACCTAAACGCGGATAACTTATGTGAGAGTGGACTGAAAGAATCAAAGGGAATTGTGCTGTCTGTGAACGTGTTTTTCCGGTAGATATTCAATTGAAAACCATTATTGATTCTTGAATTATTGTTTTGTTCGATTTTTACTGTGAACTTGATTTTGTTATGCAGACTATTGAGAAAGTGTAAAAGTTGATTAATTTGTTTGAAACATCAAAACCAACTAGTACGTCATCAACATATCTGAACCAAAATACCTGTCTATTAAATTCCTGTCCTTTTTCCTGATAAAACAAAGTTTTCAAACTTCACATATCAGTTTCAAACTTGATAATGGGGTCAAACCCGAAACCGTTCGTATGAATAAAATCAACTAGTGGTAATTAGACAGAGGTGTTTTTATTTATTTCATTAAAGTGATCATGAATAACCACAAAATAAACAAGTCATCAATCACACATATCCTTAGAATAGTCTAAGGAATAGTCCCTTAATTTTTTTCCGCATCTGCAATAAACACCCTGTAGGTATATCATTTTCATACGTAGGATACCTACGCCAAAAGTTCTGGAAGGGTAATGATATTTTTGAATTTACTTTCTTATTACATCTTGAGAAATAATAAAATACTCATAATGGCCTGCAAGATTGAAAGTACTAGAAATTTGGCCTAATTTGCTCATAACTGTACCAGATGTAAATACCAAATTTGAAATAAATCACTTCGCAGACAGGACTGTCCAGGACTTTTGGTATACACTGTGTATGATATTATGAAATTGATATGTTTCATTCAGTTACCTAAACAATTTGAAAACTATTGATTTGACCTTGACATAAGTTTTATATCTGTAGACACATATTTCAGTTAAGGACAGCTTTTATTGGTTTTCAAAAACAATATAATCATTTTTACTTATTTCGAACGGTCCAGTTAATGGGCTGCAATGAAACCTGATAAGACCGAATTTTACTCTCACACACTTCATGTTGTGCCACCATAAATATTTGACCTGGCAAAAGCCATTTTTAACTCATAACTAACAAATGAGGAAATATTTATTTCTGTACACTTCATTCAGAATGAATCTTCAGAGAGATTTGCTGTATACATGACAATTGGGATTCTCAGCAGAATTTTGAAAATATCCTGAACTGCACAAAATTGAAATTTCCGAAAAATATGAAATCAGTTCTAGATAAAAAACATGATTCTATAAAAACTGACTTCAGTAGTGATAAATTAGTTAATCAAAGATTTCTCAGTAGTACACTATGTATATTCTAACTAGTGAACAATTTGAAACATAGATTCACAAAAATGATTTCAACCGAAAGAAAGAGAACAAACATTACTGAAATTTGGCTACCTGTATTTTCTGTTCTCGTATCAAGTAATTTAATTCACCTATAAAGTAGCAACACCCATCACCAATAGAATGAATTGCCTCATCGTATTTGATAATGTTTACCGTATTCTTAAACTACCGGTGTGAAAAAATCTACAGATGACGACCAACAATCCCGAAAAAAGCTTTGATACTCCAAAGACATTCTGCTCTACAACAAACTTTGAATAATCGATCCCTGCAAACAGAATACAGAAATATTGAACTTCCTCAGAAAATAACATTTCTTGAACGACTTTGTGCTTTCGTTTTTGAAATAGTTATACATTATCTTCAGTATTGAAACTTAAAGTTTTGAACGTGATTTTTTTCATTATAGTAACAAATTTGTATTTATTGCCTTGAATTGCCCAAAATTTATGTGTTGCCATTTTGTTGTATTTTATCACATGTAATAATATTTATCTGCTTTCATTTTAAATTAATGAAAAGCACTATGATTAGTTAATAACCAACTGAAGTAGAGAAAAATGTTGAGAACCTCGAATCTTTGTTATACTTCAGTAATTCCATCAAATTCATTCTACTGCAGAGGTTCCAGTTCTGTTGAATATTAATTTTTTTGTTAGGCGAATATCGAAATACATTGGTAACATTTTTATCTCATATCTGATTGAATAATAATATATGTATTAATTTTGCAGAAACAATAGCCAGTAAATATGACAAAATAGAATATCTGACAAGCAAACAAATGGTGGCACCCATCGAATTAATTCTTATTCTAGACGGCACCTTCGACTATTACAAAACACTGCAAATGATTAGGTGAGTATATATTTTCTATTTCGATGTGAATTTAAATTCGGCTCGAAAGAACATTCAGGTTTCCCGGGAAACATGTCCGAACTACAAATATTCATTAAGTGAAAACATAGTCACTTGAACGTATTATTCAATTTCATTGGCAATTATTTCAAAACGTGCATCATAATGAATCTTCACATAAATGAACGAATTACAGAAAGATCGCAAATAAACTGTTTTCTATAACAATGATGTCAATCATTCCATTCAGTTGATAATTGTAAAAAAGGGCGATCTGAAAAGCTTTGTAGTATGTATTTTTACATAACCTCAATATTTTTGTTACCCAAAAATAATCCTGAAATAGCAGTTCCCTTCGTTAGTAGTTATATCAGGAATGATGAAAGAAATTTGGTTAGTGACTACAATTTAATTTCTGAATTCTTCATCCCAGAAACCCACCCAAGAATAGCATTTATCCCAACCAGAAGTTTCCCATTTACAAACGGTTCTTTTATTATTGAGTCATGACAAACGACATTTCGTCCAGAAATCGAAATCAATACACCAGGTAGGTTGTCTTTTTAATTAACACCCTTTTATTAGCTTCACCTCTATCTATGTATGTTTATTTGTAAATCTCCTTGCTTGATCTTTGATCTATTCGCGGGCAGATAGCGCTGTACGTAACATCCTTGATATAATTCGAACTCACTTTACATGTATTTCTTCATTTGAAAAAAGTATTTTTTTTCCTCAACACGCGCGCCCGCTGCCTTATTTGTAACCCTATTTTGCGCGCCTACTGCCTTGGGCTTGGTAGCTGATTTTCAGGCTCCCTCTCCGGAATCGGAAAATATCAGTAGTCATTTTTCTAAACAATATACGGCTGATTGATTCCAAAGTTTAGGTGAAATAAATATAGTTTAAAAAGACTAAAAAACACGCTTTATTTGCCAGAAATTCTATTTCTGTAATTACGATAGTCAAAATAACGCATTAAGGCATAGTATCTGCCACCAGTTTCTCGGAAAAACAAATTCGGAATGATTCATTTTCACTGGCATCAAATTTTACAAGAAAAACACTTCTTCTTTTCTATGATGTCTCAGACCGTATTTATTCGCTGCCTTCCTGGTAAACTAAAATCGATATGATCATAGGCGTGCGTGTTTTCATTTGTGACCATTCTGAAAACATATGAATGATAGTTGAGGAACAGAAAATTGACTCAACCAGAGATTCGAGGAGTATTTGAAAAGTAACAGATTGAATAAACGGGATTCCAACTACGCCAATCGCCAACTACACATCCAACCAAAAAGTCTGATAATTCATTCATCTCTAATGGGAATGCGCAAATCTATTATTGGCAATTATATATTACTTTTCACATATAGTCAGTGGGCATACTTGAAGACTGGCTATAAATCAAATCATCTAAGAGAACAATTCGTTCAGGCCAGTCTCAACTCCCTACACTGTAGGTTAGTGGACTGACACCTATCAGAAAACAACTACTCTGGTATTAGCCAGGGGGGTAGTTGTTTTCTGACAGGTGTCAGTCCATTTCAGGCACAGCTAAATTTGCCAAGCTGTATGTAGTTGGGTCAAATTCTTCACTTCCTTTCACTTTTCGATCAATCTACCGTTGTGATAAAGGTAAATGATTCTAAAAAATTTCTTAACTTGCTGAACGATGAAATCAATAAAAACATGATTTTTCTACAATTTGTGCCATTGTCCACAAACCGTATTATAATGACATACATGATTTCTCAACACGAATAAGTATAAATAGGTATTATTCATGAGTATGCTTCACATATCAATGGATATTCCCCTTGCAGAAAGAAATATTTGAAGATTATCAATTGTTGAGAAACAGATTGCTGTTTACTACAGTTGCGATGTAGATATTATTAATTCAAATCTTTCTAAAAATCTATCGAAACGGGCTCTGAAGTCCATAAAACTTCAGTAAACGAAGCTAAGCATCGCGTACGTGTAGCTGTAGCTTACAGAAAAAAATTATTGAAAATAATAATAAAGAAAAATGTTCAGGGTCGGAATATAGGAGTTGATTTATAGTTTTGTCCTAAATTTCATTCGGGTCAAACTGGAATAACTTCATTTAACGCATATTCAATCATGGTTATAATTTAGAAAGATTCAAAATCAGTAGAATTACGAATTCGGAGCAACTGCCAATTAATTAGAATTTAATAATTCTCCTATGTTGAATTTTTTTTTCAATACTGGTCAAAAAAATAAATGTGAAGTACCACAGCAAAAAATAATGATGTGTCACTTTGCAAACCGTCCCACTGAGGAAACTAAGGGTAATATATACCCTCAACAACTTGAATTATTTCCTGAAAGGAAAATATCGAAGGTGGCAATTTTTCTAAGTGACACCCTGTATTCTGTCGATCTTCTGTTCCACCTTGCTTGTAGTCTTACAATTAATGTTTGTGAGGAGACTATGTAATCCTTCACTACTTTATTCAGTTGTTCAAGTGTCGGAAATAGTAATTTACAGGATTTGTTGTTCAGAGATAAATGATCAACGCAGGATAGTTGAGTGGAGTTATTCATTCACTACCAAATAATGGTATACAAAGGCGTAGATTATAGGAGGATTATAGAATAAATATACCAAATCAATAGTTACCGCAAATGAAATTCGAAAGAGTTGTTTATGTTCCAAAAGTGAATTCAGGAACTATGTATTGATAGATTCTGATTCATAACGGATTCTTTTTTATTTTTTAAGATTTATAAAACCTTTGAGTTTATATATCAATATGAAATGATCGATCAGAAAGTGTATCATGAATAAGAAGTGTTAATATATAATACATTTCGTTTATGTGTGTTAAAGAAAATATCAGTCTGATCTGCCCATCGAAATCAACTTCGTATCATAAACGCAATATGGATATTGTCGATGGTCCCAAACCTGAAAAGCTACCTATGCTGGATTAGAATGTTCTGGCTTGAGTTGATCCTTTTACATTGGTGAAGGTGAACAGGGATATAGTTCATTCGTTCCGCGATTATACCTACCCCTACAACAGAAAGGCTGTAAAATTTTGAGTTCTTAGTATCTACAATAACAGAATGATACGGTATGGAGCTTGTAAAGTCATCAGGAATTCGTAGTCCTTTCTCTGCACACTTTTTAGTAATGAGAGAGTACGAATTGAAGAATTCCTCTTCAACTCCGCCACAGAGTTGGAATCTGTTCAGCAAAAGATTCACTTCAAAGTCACAAAAACCACTCTAGTCCTGCGGCTACACAAAGACAAGCGGGGGGATTCTTCAACAACAATGAAGATATAGACTTATCAAAGCACCTCTCCTTTGCTTTTCTTACATTGAATAGGCTGGAGTTGGAAACTGAGCAGTTCATCATAATCTGCCGGAATGGTTTCTTGAACATCTTGGTCTACCTTGGTCATGTGATGGGCAGAAAAGTTCCTGACACCAAGTTGAGGACCTGCCTTGGGGCGCATGAAATCTTCATACAATTGCTGCCAATATGTCCTTCATATGGGGTTTTAGTCTAGATCTTTCGAAAAAAACTGGTCCTACCTGTATTAGTACCACCTTCAGCACAGGTACTGGCGAAATACTGGAGTTACCTTATGCTCCTTTTTTTTTCGGTGTGCCCCTCGCGGGCTGAGACGAGCAAAACCTGTTGAATTGCTCCTCGACCAAAAGGGTGAGGCAATATTCATCTTTTCCCAGCTCCGTGCAGAACCAGAAATATTGGCTAGATGAATGTAGAAGGCTGTCAGTCTTGGCTTATTGCGTCTACTGAGGGCACATGGTTTCCGGACTTACGATCATTTACTTGACGGCGTGGAGTGTATTCATTGATTAGTGATGTTGGCGTTCTCTCTGTAGAATCGAAGTTTCGGGGAGAGGGTCCGATGGACACATTTTTGAAGTGATGACGTCTAATGGGAGGGTAAACCGCTTCGTCATCTGACGCGTTACATCGTCGGTCTGTCTGGCTTCCCTTTCTCTCATGCATACGTCAGCAGAAGGCAGGCTTCTTGTCTCTTGTCGGACAGACGATCAGTGTTTAGCGTGCGTTAAACATATACTGTTGACAGTATTTTAAAAATCTAACGTTATCATTTTTTATTATGTGAAACGTGGCTCAAAAATTATGAGACTTATTTTGTGTATGTACATTATGAGTATCATTATTCAATCCTACAAAAGTAATAATTGGCTTATGATAGCCATAATATATGTAAATATGGTAGCTATAATAAATGATTATATCAATAAATAACGTCTTCTTAGATTATCTTAATAATATACATAAAATTCAAGTAATAACCCAAGCTTCTCTTAAGTTGTACAATGTCAATATTGAATAGTTTAACTTAGATTAGTTTAAGTTATCACTCTTGTCGGCTGTCTAGCGTCTAGAGACGCACACGTTTTTTTAAGTGCTACCACAAGAGATTAACTTCAAGGAAATATAATAGTCTAAGATCCCGATATAAAACGACCTTCACCGAGCTGGTTAATGGATAAAAAGTATTTCAAGTCAAATTAAATATATCGTTAAGTACATTGGAAATGAGTTGCCTGAACAATTTCAGTCCAGAATATGATTTATAATTGAAAAATTTTTTTTTCAAACATTTCACTGGTGTAGTTAATAGATAAATTATATACCGTTCGTCAGAATAAAGTCTACAGAGTATGCAAACGTTGGGTTGTCTAATTTTTTCCTGTCCCAACTTTTGGGTTGCCAGGTATAAACAGGTAAATCGATAGTAGTAACTTGCACCAGTCTGGTTAATACATCAAAATTACATTAAAATAAAGATTATTTTCTGAACACGGTGGTATAGGGTTGTCTGCGAAAAATCAGTCCAGAATCCCGGTTGTCGAATTTGAAACAAGCCAGCCTATGCGATGGAATTAGGATACAGCATAGCCGCTGTGTATAGTTTCTCCATTGTGGGAAAGAGAATGCGCATGCTAGTTGGCTGTGGAAATGAAAAGGATAGCGATAGGCTCATAAATACTGTGCATCATTTTGGAGTAGATGAAATTGTTCAGGCAACCCATTTCCAATATACTTAACGATATATTTAATTTGACTTGAAATACTTTTTATCCATTAACCAGCTCGGTGAAGGTCGTTTTATATCGGGATCTTATACTATAAGAGAGATGTGACGTTTCCATATTGAAGAGTGTCATTTCATAAACAAGAAATGATATGAAATGAATAGATTCATCCATCAGCTTTGGAACACTCTGTATAATCGCTCTGTATCGATCGAGCTGTATTGACAATCAAATTCATTCCCACCGTCTCGTCTCTCAGTTATCTCTAGTATTCATGCCTTTTTAAATTCATCGTGCATATTGTGCTGCAAACATCCAGCATGTTCCATGTTATTCTGGCAACCTTTGTAGTCAATTTTATCTGAAGTAAAGTCTCAATACCTCTACAACGAATTCCTTCGGGGAATCTTGTACGTTTATTTTGTTATTGATTTATTACGTTTGTCAGGCAAGACTCTGGATACGAAACTGAAACAACTCTCAATAGATATTTCGAGTACGTGTGAGTTCTTTGTACTACTTTAGAGTTACATTTCAGGATGACTAGTTTGTATAAATTCAAAAGTTTCTATTTTAGTTTGAAATAAATTGCTTTCGATGATTCCAGTTAATATTTGGCATTTCATGATGTATTATTCTACTCATTACAAATTGTCCAAATCATTGCTTGAGATGATTTGTCCAAATACTCAAAAAACCGTAAATATCATAATGAATTCTATAATTATTATGTTGAATTTCGAACATTTTAGTCCTAAGGCAGTTTCTTTGGCATTCCGACTTCTGCGACACTTGTTACTTTCTTTAAAGTCTCCGATAAACACCACAGCTCCAAAAGTTTATTGCGTTTTTCCTTAATTTTCTCATGACATCCATATTACTGGAGTTTTTTCTCAACACCAAATCATTATTTTTAACACCTCGACACGTGTTTCGATCACCAAGTGATCATCTTCAAAAGGAAGGTTAAACTGGAAACTTCCCCAAGCTATTTATACTATACAGGTATACCATACAGGTAAACCATACAGGTAAATCATACATGAATACCACACATACAGGTATGCCACACCTAAATTAATTTTTCAATTTGTCTTATCTATTATTTTACAATATGTAGTGAGTTAGAAAATGAGGGACAACTACCATTTCTTGACGTGTTGGTAATGAGATGTGAGGGTTAGAATACGACATATTTAAAAAAGAAACAAGCACGTACAGGTATATTCCTGACAGTTCACATCACTGTGGACAGCACAAACGTGCTGTCTACGTCTTTTGACTTTTCCTCTAACACATGATAGGTTCACAAAAGAAAAACGTACAATACAGGAAATAGCAGCCACTAACGGTTTCTCTAGGTGTATTGTAGATGACATAATAAGGAAGAAAAAGTTTAGGTTAAGAATGAACGAAATCTCGACTTTCAGAAATGACAAAAACCAAGATAAATACATCTCAGTTTCATACCACCAATATACGAAGAATTTTGGAAAGATTTTCAAGGAACTAGATATGAAGGTGGTTTTTAAAACAAGTCATACACTACAGAGCCTTTTGGGAAGTCCAAAAGGCAAAGTCGAGAATTCGGAAA